TCCCGGATCAGGGATAGCCGGGAGATTCTGCTGTCTTTCCTCCCGGGCCCATTGCTTCCCCACTGAATTGCTTTGATCGACCAGTTGGGCCAGTCGGGTTTCCCCAAAGATGACCTAATTAATTCCTGAGCATCGAGCCAAGTTTCAAAAGAAAACCAGTCATTTATTAGGAACACCATTTCGGCAATACTGTGTCATCAATCACATTCTCCAGCTCACGTTGGACCCAAAGGGTTGTGTCCCTGCGAGCATTAAGGACAAAGGGGGCTGGGGGAACGGTTGTGTTCCTAGGTACGAGTAGTCCTCGACTTACAACAGTTCATTTAAGGATCATTCGAAGTTACGGCGGCACTGAAACAAAGTGACTTGCAACCGTTTTTCAATGTTACGACCGTTGCAGCGTCTCCACGGCGAGCAAATTCCAGGCGTCGGGCAACGGACTCACATTTACGACGGTTGCAACGTGATCCCCTTTTGTGTGAGTCAATGGGGAAGCCGGATTTGCTTAACGACCACGATTCACATAACAACGGCAGCGTTTCCCTTAGCAGGAAAGCAAGAGAGGTCGTAGAATGGGACAAAACTCGCTTAACGACTGTCTCGCTCAGCAGCGGTGTTGGGCTCAGGGGTGGTCATATGTCGAGGACTGCCTGTACCTGTGAGGAATATTCTTCCTCCTGACGGGCTTTCTCCTCTCTCGGTAGTGCAAGCTGGAACTCGTTGTCGGGAGCCCAGCCTCATGCATGGAACTTGAACTCTACACCCCGGATGATAAGTTTGTGATGAAGCTGGACCAGGATGAGGCCTTGCTGGGCTCCTACCCAGTGGACGATGGATTCCGAATCCATGTGAGTCTGCCTGGATTTGCGTTCTTGGGGCTTTCCCTTTCCCTTAAAACCTTTTTTTTTAAAAAATTCTCTCCGGGTTAACCAAAGGTCTCCAAACGTGGGCCCTTTAACAGGTGTGGACTTCAACTCCCAGAATCCCCCAGCCAGCTATGACTTCTGGGAGTTGAAGTCCGCAAGTCTTAAACCTCCCCAGTTGGGGGAGCCCTGTGTGAGTTGAACAGCATTCCACTCTGCTTCTCCTGGGGACCGGAGCCCCCCGGCGACTTGAACTGGACGCCTTCTTCCGCCCTGTAGGTGATAGACCGAAGTGGGGCAACGATCGGAGAATACGAGGACGTCTCGAAGGTGGAGAAGTTCCAGATTTCGGATACTGAATACGAGAAGCGAACAGGTGAGAACCAGAAGTCCCTTCCCCCACGTGAGAGGTTGGGGCAGCAAACGTGATTTTATCCCAGAAACGGTGCTGGGGTCTCCAAACACAGCTGCTTTACGGCTTCTGGACTTCCAACTCCCAGAATTCCTTGGCCAGCCTGGAATTGGTGGGTGAAATGGAAATGGGGCAGGAGGGAGCCCTTCAGCCTTCAAGCCCACCTCATTTCCCTTCCACTGGGAGAAATAAATTTATTTCTATTTCTTAGGAATAAAAATTGGAGTGTGTATAGAAAAAGAGATGGAGACAGAAAACAGACAGGGATTCACACACACACAAACACACCTGTCATCTGTTTCTGTGTACAGTATATATCAGTTCAGAGACAGACAACAGATACACACACACACACACACACTTACACACACACTTACACACACACAGACCCGTCTGTTGTCTATCTATGTAAAGTATATATTCCCTAAACGATATATATACATAAAAAGATATTGATAATACATATATAAGTATGTATGTATCTCTGTATGTCTGTGTGTTCAATAATTTAATCTATTTTTAACATATGTACACACACACACTGTATTTTTCGGATTATAAGACTCACCTCCCCCCCCCAAAAAAGAGGGTGAAAATCTGGGTGCGTCTTATACACTGAATACAGCATTTTTGCCCCTTTTGCAAAAATGGTCCGTGCAGAGCCTTTAGGAGGCTTCCAGAGTGTTCATGGGGGCTGGGAAGGGTAAAAATGAGTGAAAAACAGGCTGTTTTTTGCTCTCTTTGCCCCCCCCCTCCCCCGGAGCATTTTGCAGGCCTCTCAAACTGTTTGCACCAGTCTGGCCGACGGCACCCTGAAAAGGCCAACTCTGTGGGATCGCACTGGATGATGGGAGGCTACCGGTGGCAGTAGGTCGTCTCACAGGTACCCTGGGCCTAAGCCACGGAGCGCTTTAAAGGCCATAGTTAGTACCTTGAATCGCACCCGGAAGACAACCGGCAAGCAGTGC